CGTGGGGTGTGTGTGTGGGGGCAAAGGAAAACCCTAATGAGATTGGGGAAACCTCAAAGGACACGGTCGGTCTCCATCTCGAGCTTAATCGTAGTTAATAACCGACCTCTATCTCTCCGCCGTGTCCCGGGGGTGGGAGGAAAGGGTTGGGCTGGGGGGACGAGGGAATTTAATAGCCGTGTGATCTTCTGGAATAGTTGTATCCTTTTCGGACGGACGGGAGCTATTTGAGCTTTTGAGCCGAACAAAAGGCCCAGTAGCTCATACCATCCAATTTATTCATGAAAGTAGACGTCTCAAATCGAACCGAAATCGATTGATTAATCGATTTATAATTTTAAGTATTTTATAATATATATATATATATAATAATAATAATAATAATAATAAATGGGATCGATTCAATTGAATCGAACTGAAATCTAAGATCCAATGGAACCGACATGATAAAATTTATGAAATTAAATCCATATCATTTATGAAATTATGAGATCGAAATTGAACTAACATTGTTATTATACTTTGATTTTAAGGATTTTAATTTTTTTTGAACATTTATACTAATTTAATTAATCGATTGAATTAGTTGAGAGTTATTGACAATAAATTTGATTGGACTAGTATTTTTTAAATTAAAATTAATTTAGTTCGAAACGATCAATCGAATTAAAAAAAGAGTATTCTTTCAAAATTAAACTATTCATGAATCCATTCCAACAGAAATTTTCGATTCAATTTGAACACCACTGCATCGAAGTGTGATTGGTGATGCATTGAATCCGATCTAATTCTCAGCACTGATAGATACAGAGAGGTGTCATCATCACATGATAGTCCAAGTTCAAAAAAAGATGACATTATATTAGAACAGGCTGCTCGGGGTGGGTTGGTGCACCAAACCCCTCCCCAACCTAACAGAGAAGAGGAAGATGGGAATTAAATTCCAATATTAAATCATAAATTCCAATATAAATCAATTAAACCCGGTTTATTAAAACCTGCCCTCCGCGGTTCACGGAATTGACATCCGATTCGCTTTCCCAGTTTGGTAAGGAAACTCGAGAAACGGATGGAAAACTTCATAAGGGTAGATGGGTAATTTAGTGTGAGTCGATCCAAAATATTTGGCTTCGACCGTGGTGACGCTGGGCGGCGAACACGATGAAAGACTACCCTTCTATATATGCATAGTGAGAGGGTGAATCGTTCGATCAAGGGGCGATCACCGAGGGAGAGAGAAAGGTAGATGGCGTCGTTGAAACTGAGCGCTCCATCGAGCCAATGGATCGCAGGTGAGAGGTCGTTGGACCGGCGGAGCCGCATCCTCACAGCAGCGCCACGGCGGCGGGTGGCCGTGGGGCCTATCAGGGCCGGTTCGTACACCGACGAGCTCGTCCAGACCGCCGTGAGTCATTAACCCTCTATATTTTTTTCTGATCTCGCCCATTTCACTGGTTCGTGGTGCTTGTGACCCGATCCCTCCACTTTGAATCCAAAAAAGAGCCTTATTGGATCGGAAAAGATCGCTTTTTTGTCCTTCTGTTGATCTCTTCTGACCTTCTGACCCTTTTTGTTGGAATTTGATGGATTCGGCTTCTTTTCCATTAATCTGTTGAACTTGTTCGATCTTGTTGTCTTTATCGATCTTTGATACGAAAGATAACGTTTTTTGTGATTTTATTCATTTTTACTGTTCCGTAGAAATCAAAAGGGAACGAAAAAGATATTCTTTTTTTTGTTATGCTGGTGAGTCATAAATGAAATTATTTTCTCATAATTGTTATTTTGACACTCCTTGAGATGATCCCGGGCTTGATCAATTTGTGTCGTCATCACGGGCTTGTTCAATTTTTGTGTTTGTAATGGTACTAGATTTGAATAGCACAGCAGGTTTGACACTCTCTGAGTAGTAGTACTGAATATGAAGTTGGTTTGGTCCACAGAAAATCTAATCGCGGCGTGTTAAAGATTTCTAGTTTTGTGCTACCTTTCCTGATTGGCTGTAGCATATCTTTTCCTGCTCAATTTGTCATCATTTTCATGTTAAGCAGTACTTTAGCAAACAAGATGGCACTGGCAGATTGAGATTGTATACAAGGTTAAGACCAATGAAACGGGAAGTTATCTAATCATTAGCATGGCGTTATGCTTTTTGTTGAAAGGATTCTATAGGTTTTTTATTCTCTAGAAATTTACTGCTTCGTCGAGGCATGGAATTCTTGCTATTGATGAATGAACAAAGATGCTGGTTGAATTTTTTTTTTTTCAGAAAGTCATTGCTTCTCCTGGGCGTGGGATTCTTGCAATCGATGAATCAAATGCTACCTGTGGGAAGAGGCTTGCTTCGATTGGCCTGGACAATACGGAGGCAAATCGGCAAGCCTACAGGCAGCTTTTGTTGACAACACCTGGCTTAGGCGAATATATCTCTGGGGCTATTCTTTTTGAGGAAACACTTTACCAGTCGACCACTGATGGGAAGAAGTTTGTGGATTGCTTACGCCAAGAGAAAATAATGCCCGGCATAAAGGTTGATAAGGTAATTATCACTGGAATTTGTGGACATAGTACAATGTCAACTTCCGACAGTAGATTTGGAGAATCTGTACTGATTTATTTGTATGAAATGTTATTGTTTCTCTTTTTTTCTCCCAAGGGTTTGGTTCCATTACCTGGATCAAACAATGAATCTTGGTGCCAAGGATTGGATGGATTGGCCTCAAGATGTGCTGAATATTACAAGCAAGGAGCACGCTTTGCCAAGTGGTGGGTTTAAATCCCTGGCTGGGACTGCAAATGCTTCTTGGTTTCATCATGCATCTAAGTATAATTGCTAATTTGGTCATGTCTTAACATTTGCCAAAAACTTCAGGCGGACAGTTGTCAGCATTCCTTGTGGTCCTTCTGCCTTGGCTGTAAAGGAAGCTGCATGGGGTCTTGCTCGGTATGCTGCCATTGCTCAGGTACTTCAAGCATCCTCAAGATGAGCCAAATCTTCATGTAAAACTTTTAGAACCGAACATAAGGGTCATTTGCTCTTATGTCAGAGTTCTAATGATGAAAAAAATACAACAGAGGCATCTCATGCTTGCTTGTAGATCTAAGCCTTTGAGCAAACTCCACATATTGTTCCTAAACATTCAGAAAGATAAGAGTTGAATCTCTAGATCTGATAAATCATGTACCCACATGTAGTTTTGATCATATGCATATCTAGGTTACTTTGGCGAAGTGATGATCTCATGTAGAGATTGTGATATAACTTCTGAAGAGCTGTTGGTGTTCCTTGATTGCAGAACAAAAGGATGAAGACAACACAAAGGACTTACTAAACGAAAGGAGCAAAAAAAAGTGAAATTAATTTAGGTCAAGAAATTAGTGAACATGAATTACGAATCATTTTTATTTGTTCATACTGTGATATCATATGCTTATTGTCGGGGTGCCAACTAAAAATGCCAAATTTACTGAATTACTTCCTTACATCAAATTCAGAATCATGCATGAATTAGATGGCACTAAGACTTAATTTCCATTTAATTATTCATTTTTGTAGGATTGAAATAGCAGCTTTATCATATTTAGTTGATTTTAATACACATAGCTTGATAATTGTTGTCATTCTTGTGACGTTTTAGGACAATGGTCTTGTCCCAATAGTGGAGCCCGAAATTCTCCTTGACGGTGACCACCCGATTGAAAGAACACTTGAAGTAGCAGAAAAGGTTTGGGCAGAGGTGTTCTACTATCTAGCTGAAAACAATGTGGTGTTTGAGGGAATCCTGCTAAAGCCAAGTATGGTAACCCCGGGTGCTGAACACAAGGAAAAGGCATCTCCAGAGATGATTGCAAAATATACACTTAAGATGCTAAACAGAAGGGTACCACCTGCGGTTCCTGGAATAATGGTATGCTCCAAAACATGTCATTGAATGCTCATTCTTTCTGATTGATCATTTTTTGGGCATAAGCATTGTGCCATTGCTAATTCTTGCATCTCACGGACACAAGTCACGATCAATAAATAATCTCAACAAGAGTATATTATCACTTGGCTTTAACATGACAATGGTCTAATATACCTAGATTTATTGGTTTCACAATAATGAATGGAAATATGTGATGCTAACACCATCGAAAAAAATATTCAGAATGATGATTACTTTTCTTTTTTTCTTTTTGCAGTTTCTGTCGGGAGGGCAGTCTGAAATGGAGGCAACCCTCAATCTGAATGCGATGAACCAGGTTCCCAATCCATGGCATGTATCCTTCTCTTATGCTCGAGCTCTTCAAAACACAGTCTTGAAAACATGGCAGGGCCGTCCGGAGAATGTTGTGGCATCACAGAAAGCACTCTTGGATCGTGCAAAGGCTAATTCCCTTGCACAGCTCGGTCGTTATTCTGCCAAGGGGGAGAGTGAGGAAGCCAAGACAGGAATGTTTCAGAAGGGTTATACTTACTAAAGAGGTGCTAAACTGCTAATCACCTCTTTTTAGTTTCTGGCTTTGGCTTAATTGGTTCTTAAGTATTAAGTATCCATTTTGTGTTTTGTGGACTCGATGTTTTGGTTAGAAACTTGGAGGAGCAGAATAAGTATAAGAATAATGCAATTGGCACAGTAGTGATGAACTAGAAGAAAATATTCCATCCATGACTATTGGCTTGTGTGAAACAATTTGTATTCAGAGACATTATGTTGCCCACAAAATCCCGAAGATGTTGCAAATTGAACCATTTTCTCTGGCCCTAATTTTTATAAGTTGTTGATGTTTGTCTGATGGCGTTCAAATTCATGTTACGCATTTCAAGTCTTCAACATGATTAGAATAATCATCGATCAAGGATTAATTGTGTTGTTAGTTTCTAATAGACATGATTAGGGTGGGTGTTGGAAAATCTCTCTCATATTTGGTACGCAGCAAGAAATCATAGAAAAAAGGAAAATATATGAGAAGCATAGAAAAACTCAACATCGTAACTTGTAATGTTGATACCATTTATAGAGGGGTCAGCCGAAGATTTTGGCCTTAACATTTATTTGGTCTTAACTTCTATCTTAATTAAGATTCACAAACTAAAATCTCATTTAATTACAAATTTTAAATTAATATTTCAACGTAGGGTATGGATTTTCACTTGTACTAATTCTCGACTCCTTTTGCCTGAGCAGATATCAATTACTCGTCCTAAATTGAGGATTCAAAGGTCTCTTCCATGCCATGTTAATTAGCTTAGATAATAATGAATCTTATTTTCCAACATTTAGCCTTCCAGAAATTTGAGGGGAAAAAAGAAATCCTAACTAGTTTAGTTGGTAAAAACCATATCGTATCAGTCTTGAAATTGATCGATCTGCATGACTTAATTATTTGACAAAGCAAACAACAATTCCATCCGCAAAAGAACAGTCAAATATCTGCACAAATCAAACATGCATACATGTCTTGCTAAGACAAATAGCTGAACTTAGTAAAGGAAAAAAGGATACGATAGGCAAGGAATGGAAAACGTTGTTTATATCACCATCAAAAGGACCTCCTCTTAAAGAGTACATGTTCTCTAAAATGCCACCTCGGGTTGAACAAATAATATGAAGCTCACTGGTTGAACAAAGTGAACAAGTAACAAATAACAAGGATTCACTCATTTCAATTTCATGATGGCTGAGTCGCCAGCAAGTCAAGGCAAAAACCACGATAGATACTCTTAACAACAAACATACTTATAAACAAATTAAGACTGTAATCGCTACGACTCTTAAACTGGTAACAAAGACTCAAAAAGGAGTGGCCCTTGCTTGCGTTGCAGCTCTGGTAGATTTGAGAAGCATCAAAGGTAGAACAAAATCTAACAAGTTCCAAGCTTGTTGCCCGTTGGCATATGCTCCGATCTGCCTCACAGTGATAATGTCATCGATCTTGTAGATTAGAGAAGCATCAAAAGTACAACGAAATCATACAAGTCCCAAGCTTGTTGCCTGTTGACATATGCTCCAATCTACCTCACAGTCATAATGCCGTCGATCTTTAAGACCATCCTCACACACTTGGTGGCGAGTGTAATTGCACTTGTGATAACCAGCAGTGGCTGCACCACATTTTCCCCCAATATGTTGGTGATCAGACCCTTCCTCACGTTGATACCAGCATTAGTCTCACCCTGGGCATGCCTGTTCCAAAGTTCTGTAACAATGACTATGGGGTTTAACCCTGCATTCTCTGCTAAAGCGTAAGGAATTACCTCCAAAGCTTCTGCAAACTCCTTTATGCAGTAACTTTTCATTCCTTGAAGTTCTTTTGCCCAAGCACCAAGTTGCCTTCACATCTCAATTTCTGGAGCACCTCCACCAGCAATGAGAAATCATGTCATGAATTATGCAAATTGAAGTCAATATCAAAATGTCCAACTAATATATGGAATTTAATAAAGAACTAATGTAAAAAAAAAAAAAGGAAATCTTCCTGCATCTAAAATCAGAAAATAATGTGAGGGGCAAACAACACCACCGCTTGAAGAAGCGCAGGTAACATCCAACTGGTAATTGCATGGCAATGATGCAGAAAAGAAAGCAGACAGTTGATCGGAAGAATGTATAATCCTCACAATAGCAAACATCCATATACAGACCCATGGAGAGTTTGTATTTGATGTATACAAACTTTACATGAGATAGTTTTCCCAGTCATGGTTTCAAAAATAATACTGATCTTATGCATTTTGGATCCTGAAATCAAGCATCATTTCTATTGAGGTTCTTGAATTAGATAACTAAACAGAAACCTATAAATAGTGGTAGCATTCTAGACATCCGAACAAATCAAGGACACTAAAACTAGCACAAAGTTAGGTTGCAGCTTGATCTAACCACAACAGTGAACCAAACAGTCCTGATACCAAACATGTAAAATATTATAGGGCATACCCATAAACTATATTAATCTTGTCAAATATCTAAGATTAATCAAGGGACCAAGTCATCACTCACCTCAACCCTCACAGTCCAAGACAAAAAAAACTAATACCTTCCCTATTATGACACTAAATACATTTTCAAACATAATGATGACATTAATTCAACCATCCCACTATTCTTTCAACATGTCTTGGCGGCGTCAACCACTAAGCAATATCCATGGTTGCTACAATATTAATTAACGGTTTGAAATCTCATTCGACATATTACACCTAAAATATTGTTTTGGTACTAGTATATTAGACTCATTTATCGATTCAAAACCTAATCTGGCATATCTTAAAGGTGTTAACTAGTTTAGCTGGTAAACTTCTTGTTAGATCATCGTAAAATCTTAGGACCAAATCTCATCTTTATCACTTACCTTTGTATATATATAAAAAAAAAAAGCATAAAAATAGACCCAACACAGAAACATCACAATACCCAATCCCTCTTCGATTACTCCTATCCTCGTCCACAACTAAAACACCCTACAAACTCCATAAACCCAAAGGCAACCATTCAACTGCCCCTAGAAAATTCACAGATAAAATTAAGAGGGAAAATCTATGTCAAAAAAGCAAAGGATCGAGTTGACCTGATAACACATAGAGCATGTCCTTTATTCCTGTCATCTTCACGATATTCCCATCCCCAACCGAGATCTTCTCTACGCAATTTACTAGGAAGATGTTCCTAGGCCATAAAACACCCGAATCTATTAAACAAGAAAAACTCAAACTATAAGCCCAAACTATTCAACTAAGTGTGGATTTAAACCTAAGACAAACACTTAGGTTTTTCTTGTGGTGCATCTGACTTCAAAGCCCAAGCCCTTATTTATAGGTTAAACAGGATATACCAAACTTGATTTTCCTGATATGGGACTATATGGGACTTGCCAAACTAACAAATCTCCACCTTGGCATGTCCCAATAAAACTTGCTCCACCTTCTTCATAAAAGCCCCAATGGGCAATCACCAACAATGAACACCAACCAAGTCCAAGCACTACTTGAACTTGTAAACCGGAAGAGGCTTCGTAAGCATATTAGTTGGATTATCCTTCGTATGAATTTTCTGAACAAGGACCTTTCCCTCAGCAATAGTATCCCATTTGCATCCAACAATTTTCTTACCCGAATGCAGCTTCACAAGATCCCAAGTTCTATTCCGATGGAGAGATTCAATTTCTTCATTCATCGCGATCAACCACTTAGCGGAATTATCACAAAAAACTGCATCTGAGTAGGAAGTAGGCTCACCAACTAGTAGATTTCTCTTTTGAAGATAACATAGATAATTCATCAAAAGTAACATCTCTACTGATTATAAATTTTGGGGATTTGGGATCAGAACACCATAATATGTATCCTTTCACCCCAGAAACATACCCAAGGAAAATGTACTTTTTTGCTCGAGGTTCTAATTTTCCTTCATTTATATGCATGTATGTTGGACACCCAAAAATTTTTAAATCAGAGTAATTAGCAGGAGTACCTGACCAAACTTCCTCTAGAGTTTTAAAGTTAAGTGCTACAGAAGAAGCGCGGTTGACAATATAACAGGCCATATTAATCGCCTCTGCCCAAAAGTCCTTTGTCAACCCTGCATTTGAGATCATACACATTGCTCTCTCCAAGAGTGTTCTGTTCATACGTTCGGTCACACCATTTTGTTGAGACGTCATCCTAACAGTACGATGTCAAACAATTCCTTCATTTTTATAGAATTCATCAAAGTCACCTTCACAAAATTCCATGTCATTATCTGTTCGAAGCCGCTTAATCTGTTTACCTGTTTGCTTCTCAATCAAAGTCTTCCATTGTTTAAATGTTAGAAAAACATTATTTTTATGCTTTAGAAAATAAACCCAAACTTTTCTTGAATAATCATCGATGAAAATCAACATATGCCTGGCACCACCCTTAGACTGAACATGAGCTGGACCCCGAAGGTCTGAATGAATATAGTCAAGAGTACCTTTTGTTTTGTGAACTGCCGGAGAATTGAAGCTGACTCTTTTCTGCTTTCCAAAAATGCAGTGTTCACAAAAATCTAGTGGTCCAGTACTCTGTCTACAAAGTAGACCCCTTTTGCTTAATATGCTCAAACCTTTTTCGCTCATATAACCGAAACGCATATGCCATAATTTGGTGATATCAGAATCAGACAATGATGATGACGAGATTGCAACTGAGCCTGTGACAGTAGTTCCTTGCAAAATATACAAGCTACTAGACCTACAAGCTTTCATAACAACAAGGGCACTTCTAGAAACTTTCATAACTCCACCTTCAGTTGTGTATTTACACCCAAGAGCCTCTAGGATGCCTAAAGAGATGAGATTCTTTTTTAAATCAGGAATATGTCTAACATTAGTGAGCGTCCTCACAATACCATCATACATTTTAATTTGGATTGTTCCTCTACCAACAACATCACATGCTGCATTATTGCCCATCAAAATAATTCCACCATTACAAGATTCATATGTGGAAAACAAATCTCTATTAGGACACATGTGATAAGAACAACCCGAATCTAAAATCCATTTATTTTTAGACCTCGTCTTGTTATCAGTAGCAAAGAAAATATTTCCATCATTCTCATTAGCTGCTACACTAGCTTCAGTAGACTCAATAGTTTTCTCAACAATTTTTTCCTTTTGCTTTAATTTATTTTTCAATTTAAAGCAATCAACCTTAATGTGCCCCATTTTATGACAACATCTGCATTCCAAATTTCTATGTCGAGATTTAGATCTAGGTTTAGATTTACTACTATCAAATTCTCTTTTACCCATTCTACCCTTGACAACCAGAGCTTCAGCTTGATTCTCTCTACTTTCCCCAGTGATATCTCTGTCTATTTGCTCCTTAGATTTTAGTGCAGATTTAATTTCTTGATATGAAATTATTTCTTTTTCATAAATCATAGTATCACGGAAATGCTTAAAAGATTGGGGAAAAGAACATAAAAGTAATAGGGTCTTATCCTCATCATCAATTTTTGCATCTATATTCTCCAAATCTATAATCAATGAATCAAATTTATCAAGATGTGAGAGTATAGATATACTTTCAGTCATCCGAAGCATATACAAAGTCTGCTTTAAGTAGAGACGATTCTCTACTGTCCTCTTCATATACAAGGCTTTAAGCTTGTCCTACATGCTCTTAGCCGTAGTCTCCATAGCTACCTCCTGTAAAACCTCGTCAAAGAGATTTAGAATAATACTGAATCGGGCCTTCTTATCCATACCCG